AGACAGGCGAACAGGCAGAGGTTGAGTAGGGAGGCAGGGAGGGAGAAAGTGCAATAGTGTTAAATAAAAAGGGCCACAGGCATGGGCTGGATGGTAATGAAGAGGGGTGGGCCAGCAGCTGAGGTCCCTGTAGATGAGATCTCTCCCTGACATGTGTGTCCCCTTCATTACGCATTAAGGGGGGCACAGTGATGAATCCTTAATATGACATTACACCAATTTTCCTCTTCATTTAGCCTGCTAATGTGCTGGTCTGCTCCTATATGCCCAGGGGCTGCCTGTACCAGACTCAACCAGAAATAGACCACAGTGGCCACTGGTGGCACACCTTGAAGCGGCCTAATTAGGGGCAGCGCCCACCTAATGGGGCTATCTAGACAAGGGTTTGCATAAGTTGATTTTTTTAGCAGGTAGGAATTGATGACTGAATGGCGTGCATGTCTGACACCCCGTTTGCATATCTACAAGCTGGTTAAAAAAAAAAAAAGAAGTGTCACCTAAAACATCATTTTTATGTATTAGGCGTTGCTTGACAGACATGTTTCTGTCTATGTAGATCACTTGTTTGGGTATTTGCATCTGTGTGTTATAGTGAGAGTGGATGATGTGTGTATGACTCACTCAGCATGCCCATCCCCAGCATGAAGGCATCCATGGTGTAGGGCAGACCCCTGGCTCGCCCTCGTGTACCTGGTGGGAACATCACCTCCTTGGGCTGGGCCTTCTTACATTCTACCTATGTACACAGACAAACAAACACACACACAAAAATGCACGGACACACACACACAAACACGCACACACACACACACACAGAGAGACAAACCATAAGACTGTGTAGGTACACAACCAGACAGATCTGACAGGGCTGTCTCAGCTCTTTAAGGTGGTTTTCTATTTGACTTGCACAGTGCTAGATGTTTTCCATAGAGGAAAAACAAGACTGAGTCAATCTGAGCACCTCACATTTTAGAGGAAAGTCTCCAAGGAAAACTTACAATCATGCTCCTCCTGCATTAAAGCAAAGGTTATTGCTCCAGTGAGCATGTGCTCAAAGCCTCAGGGAAATACAAGCTAAATACTTTCCAAGAGTTTCCGAGACATCAAGGTAGCAGAAGCTCTGTTCTGCAGTGCCATTACCAAAGTCCCACAGTGTGGCAGTGTGTCCAGTGTCTTTGTGAAAGGCTTTTTGTCTTTTTATCTAAACAAAGAATAATCTTCAAAGCAGTAACCTCTTTTGACAAATCAAAAATCCTTTAATTTAGGTTTGGCTAAGGCAGCTTAAAACCTGAAGCTGATCACAACATAAATGTGTGTTTTGAAACCGAGTAAGCTTCTCTTTTTTTGTTTGTGTATTGTGTATTTTGTGTATTGTTGCTGGGCTGAAGTCCCCAGTGTCCCACAGTCCAATTCCACCTGCAGCACTCATCTCTTTCCTGCATTTATTTCTCTCACTCCAGTTCTCACACATACCGGTTTGTTCATTTCCCATCTTGCAAGACTGACATCTTCTCCACCTACATAACACATATCAAATGAGGGATGTGACAGGGGCAGATGAGGAGAAGGGAGAAGATGAGAGTCCTATTTACCACGTATCTATCCTATCTCTATGAATTATAGAGAAGCACGAGCGGCTGACAAGGGTGGCATGGTCTTGTGTCTGTTGGTTGTTCTTTGGTAGGCTGAGTCTGTTCACCATGCTGCACAATCTATTTGCTCCACTGCCTGCTTGGCATCAGCCTGTCCATCTGTTTGTCTGTTTGCCTCCTGGCTCTTGCCTGCTTCTCCCTACTGCCTCCACTTAAGCAGGGCTTTCTCGGCTGCTGCGATTCACATGTCATCCTGGCCTGCTGCACAAGACAGGCTACTGCGCCAGTTCTGTGTACACCTCAACCAAGGTATAGCCTGGCATCCATACAAATAGGCTTGCAACTCTGACAGGCCAGTGGTGCACATTACTATTCACACACAAACTCATACATGCACAGTGGTAGACACAACATGCTATAGCAAGTTACCAAACTAAAGAAAATCTTCACGTCTATACGAAGTTGCTGTGCTGAATGCACAGCGTAACAAGCTCTGTACACTATGTCCAGCAGTGAGCAAGACATATAAAAAGGGAACACTAATGAAAAAGGTTTCTATCACAGTAGGGAAAGTTGCTGCGTTGCAGAGCTGTGATTTGTTGCTGTTAGCAGCCCTTTTATTTGAAGCAGACCAACTAAAGTACACAGTTCCCTCAGCCACTTTGTAGCTGTCACAGCTACTCTGCCCTCCTTGCTCGGCTGGTATGGTTTGACATTGTGCTGAAGAGAGCACAGGCACTCTTATCGTCAGAGAATGACCCCCGGCGTGGAAGTAGGAGCCGGGTGGGACAAATGGGTGTGTTAGAAATCTCAGCACACTGCTGGGATTTTCGTATGTTCACATGGCTGAGTGACAAATACAGTCGAGTTCTGCCTACACTGCAGACATGGCGGTGTCTGATCAGCGTCCTCCAGTAACCTCTGCCACATCCAGCGAGTTGGACGCTCAGGTAGCCTGCTGGGAGTAAGACAGAGCCGGGTGTGAGTCATGCCTACATGCTCTCAGATGCAGGTCTTTGATATTCAGAGCGAGGGCTCCTTGTCATGGATTTAAAACCAGTCAGGAGCCAGGTTCTGTGGTGGTGTGAGTGTGTGGGTGTTCACCTGCTTCAGACACTCAAGAGTGTGTGAGGGAGGGAGGCAGGAGCTTTCAAGAGTGAACTAAGTCAAAGAATGAAGAAGACAGACAATTCTGAGTCTGACAATGTACAGCTGTGAAAGGTTCAGTAGCTGTGAGCTCACAGATTCAAATTTTGCCACGTGGGATGTTTTACAGAATGAACCTTTTGCCACACCGTTTTACAGGTTCTCCTTTTAGCTGGAAGTATTTTCCAGAATTACAGCTTGTGTAGCTTGTCAAGGACTCTCGAATTTATGAAGGCAGCGCAATATTGTGTTGTGAAAAGTATCATGATCCACAATTTAAACATCATGAATGGAGGTGTTTGAGCACCATTATGCCCTGTTGAGAAAAGGGACACCCCATTAACCTGCCTTGCTTTTACTGCCAGGAAAGTTATAACGTTTTGAGCAGAAATAGCACCCAGGAGATCTGAGAGCCTCGAACACACACAGATGTCCGGTATGAAAGCCAGGTGACTGCTGAAGTGGATTCCTGCCATGCGGTGTTGACAAGGTATGGTTACCTCAGCCTGCGTGCTTTCGACATACATTGAGATGTTTCCTCCTCTGCTGCGCTGATATACTGCAGTTGATAGCTTATCTTTGAGATTCGTGTCACTCAATAGCCCGAGATAACGTCAGGAAGGAAGGAACGCTTAAAGTCAAAGAGCAGAGCATGCAACCTATGCAAGAATCTTAAATAAATATTTTTACTGAGTTATGTGAAACCTTGGACGAGCATTGCTAGCCAAGCAGGAGGTTTAATTGGAGCAACGTTGTCAGTTAGACTCCAGTGTGCAACATGCAACAGTTTGAAAAAAAAAAAGAGCAAGTCTTGGCTCTTGTCCAAGCAACCTGTAGCCCAGTTTGTCGTGAGTATAAAATACTCCACAGCAGCATCAGGTAACGACCCCAAAACACGGTGGCCTATAAGAAGACAGATGTTGACATATAGTAGCCAGCAGACGCTCAGCTTGGAAAATGTAGCCTGATGACATAAATTTAGGTCTGAGGTAATTACTAATGCTCGTATTTACCTGATTATGCTTTGTAGGGAATAAAGCTGGTTAAAAAGTTGAAAGGGCTTTTTGGTGTATTAATTCAGTTTTTGTTTTTTCACAGTAAAAGCAAAGGTTAAAGAAGTCTTGCACCTTGATAACACTCCCATAAGGTCTTTTTTAATGCACTGGAAGACACAACATAAGCAAAATAATCAGTCAGCACCGTGGCTGAACGCTTTTACCTTGAAACTGTCGTGTACCGCTGAGCATCTGAAAAACAGATTCAGGCTTCTGGGGCTTCATACAAACAACAAACCTGAGGAACCAACCAACTGCCAACTTGCAGGGCGTAGCTTTCTGTATCATTATTCTTCTTCAAATTGAGTTTCAAATGTATTTCTGAATTACTCCAAGCTTACAATTAGCTAATTTGTAGCATAGAGCAGTTTTACAGGGTTTAAGCGGAGCATGAGGCGAGCTGGTGTGCTTGAGCTGCAGCAAGTGGGGAAGGGTGCAAGGAGAAAGAGGCAGGGACTGTTTTCATGGGAAAAATACAAATTTAAATGCATAAATTTGACACACAGAGATAAGACTTTGGGGGATTTAATCAATGAATGGAGATGGGCCTCAACAATGTGACGTACATGAGAAGAATAATCCATAAGATGCAGCGTAAAGAGACTAACTCTGTCCATGCAAATTCTTATTAATTTGAGGGTTACAGGTAAGCAAGAAAAACAAACAAACAGACAAACAAAAAAACAGATGATCAATTTGTTCTGTTCTTGTCTTCTTCTGGTTTTTAAAATCAAGATTTAGGTCTTTTCAGGCGGGTTATTTCCTGTAACTAAAAATAAAACTAACAAAAAAAAACAACCTACGCTTGATATTGAAATTACAAGGCACACACATGCACATGAAGCATACACCAACATGGACTTTCAGGACCACTCAAGCACTACTTGATGAGTGGAGTAATGCAACCCACAGATGAAGAATGAAACAAACAACCGTCTTTGTTTTTGATGTACAAACCCTATGATACAGAGCGGGGAAGCGCTCCAGTTATGACCTTTTCAATACATCTCCCATACATATTAACCTTGTAGGTATAAAGGGAAGGTGTGGGCGGGATGGACTGGCAATGACTGTCCTTCAGGGACGAGTGTTGTGGGTGTGGTGTGTGTGTGTGTGTGTGTGTGTGCGTAGAGGGGGAGGTGTACGGCTGCTATTAGCTTCACCAGTGAATGAATTCCATCAGTAGACTGGCAGACTGAAGAAAGGAAACAGTGTGATTCATTTACTCCAGCTCCCACTCCCAGCCGAACAGTCAAAACACATAGACTGAATAGTTAGGAAATGTCACGGCTCTGACTGCCCAATGTCAGGCATGGTGGTGTGAGATTACTCAGTTAAGAAAAAAGGTTTCTCGAAACCATTTAATGAGTTGGTTATTTAAGGAACAGAGTGACTGGGAACTTAAATTAAAACATAGTGGTCAGATGGTGTTCTAAATATAAAAATCTGACTTTTAGAGTTAACTGAATTTATTAATGTTGCTGTGGGGAAGGTTTATGTGAAATGTCACGATTTAAAACAGTTTCTGTTAATACAAGCCAACCAAAGGCTTTGTTCTCCCACATGGAACCAACAACAAATATCTGAAGAGACTGGTCTTTCTATAATACTTATGTTAAGACCAAAACAAAAGAAAAAATGTATGCCACTAAGACATAAAATTGTTGTTTACAACAGACATTGCATCCTGACTTGCTTGTATCCATTGCCAATTTGAAAAACAGGACAACTGAGTAATGGTAGATGTGTGAAGTTTGGATAAAGCAAAATGACGCCTTCAATGGCCAGCAATCTCACATGAGTCATTATGTGGTGATGATATCTCTGCATGGTTGTATAAAAGCTAAAGGATACGAGGTCATTCTAAGGACAGGTGCCCCCCTGTGGTGCCCACATTGTTCTCTTGTCATGCGTCTACATTTCCAGATGATATTGTCCCCAGA